GGTTCTTGTTTGTTTGTTTACATTAAAAGCAAGTTGATGTCGACATCGAAAGGTAAGGCCTTTTGCAGGCAGCTGCGCAATGCACACTTTAAAAATAATTTTGAATAGATTCTAGACAAACTAGCCAGTGATATTTTATAGACGACGAGTGCGTGTCCTCACAAATATATCCCAAAAGTTGTCTCGCCTTCAAAATATTGTGTCAGTACTCTTTTAAGGGCAGTCTTCTACTCAACAGGAACTCTTCCTGTCAAACAAGAGTGTTTTTCCTTGAGTCTCTTGTTGGCTCACCGGCTTCATAGCAGTTGACATCCCCGTATGTAACAGACACTGCAGATGCTGTACGTTAGCAGCATACTCTAATAAAAGTTGATGCACGAAATCTCAGTAACAGGCTCACTGCTCGAGCATGTCACGCGCACAAATACTGCACAGCCAAGAAAGTTTTACGGTGCATAAAAGTGCAGAAAGTTTTACGGTGCAGGAAAGGTAATTACGCCACGAGTACTTGAGAGGTCTGTTAGTCAAACAAGTAAGGTTGCATACATTTGCAACTGAAGTACAAAACGGCGGTAAAGGTCGAGAAATTAGAAATATTGCACATTTTTGCTGTACCATGTTAATTAAGCTTGGTGCTGACAAAACTGTTTGTCGTAAAATTGCTGTGCCAAGGTTGCATGTCATGTTGATGTAAATGCAAGAACAGTGCGCCAGGCAATGCCAGGCTTCAACAATGTTCTATATTGGATATATATTTGTAAGGTATGGATGCCTGTGTAATTAAAAAAGGGTGCATTTCGATGAAGGCAAAAGGCTAAAGGTTCGTGTACTTTGATATAAGTGCATGTAAAAAATACGAGATGGTCAAAATTTCAGGAGGCCTTCACTACAGAGCCACGCATAATTATATCATGGTTTTGCATTGTAAAACCATAATTATTGGAAGAGGGCCTGTGCAGTGATGAACTGTGTAGATGGCTGTAAGTATTGTTGCTTCTCTATCAGATATTGCCTAAAGTCATTGCTGCACGTGTTTTTCACCAGTCCTTGGCTGTTGCACCATCCTTACATTCACTACGTCCTACCAACATGCCAATGTCTCTACCCTTTACAGCTGTGCCGAAAACCAAAAAACAACCGACCAAGGCTATGCACGAGAAAGGGGGGGAGGGGGGAACCAGTCTAATTATGATTCTATGTTTATGTTGGTTTTGCCTTTTGTGAATCGCATATGCTGGATCATCTACAAGCCATGCCCCAACTTTTCAACACTGTTGGGAAAAATCCGCTATTTTCAGACCACGGTGCAAATTAATGATATGCTATTGGGCTTTTTTCCTTACCAATACCTTAATTAATTCATCCTCACCAGAGAAACCCATTCTGCAACTTTTATCCAGCTACACACTACAGATTAACTTTGAGCTCCAATTCCTCAATTATGCAATTCCTCAATTCCTCAAGATTCCAGATTGGCGCACAGTGAACTTAAAGTGCGATTGGTTTTCGTGATCCTCGCACGTGCGAATTCATACGCGGGCCTCCTAAAACTATGCACGTGCACTGCCACATAGTACACACTTGCGTGCGCCGATGTTTCAGCCGGCATTCGTGAACTATTCAGTGATTATATATGTTATGCAGTTACGCGCAGTGAAGTAGCCGTGCGTTTGTCAATGCAATCAGGGTTCTACGCCCACCGCAGGCGTTGCGTAAGGCTTTTTATACCTATGCTTCCGGGGATGTGGTGACAGTTGCCGACGATGCTACGGTCGTAACCGCACCCGGCAATCTCGTTCCTGGCCACATCGGCGACACAAGCTTGCCGCCAAGTCGAATGTCGCGGAAACAAGTTTCACTTCTCACAACACCGGGGCCGTGCTCGTCCTCCCGTGCACTGCATCGACGTTTGCCTCGGCACCGCACAACACCACACCTTCACCGCTGCACTTATGCACAACCACTAGCGTTCCACTGAGGCGTTGCACAAACACGTAGTACTAGAGAAACAAATTAATTGCGAGCACGCCGATAAGAAGTTAAGGCTACCAGTTAAGGCTACCACCCGGCCTCAGTCGGTTTTTCGGCGCGCACACACGCGACAAGCACGCTCCGATGTTACCGAAGGTGGGTTTTAAACTTGGCCCATGAAATGAAACGACGAATGAAACGGATCTTTGATGTCGGTAGACCGCGTCGCGTTAATGAATCTGTTCCGCATGGCTGCCGCTAAAGGGCAGCACCACTCGCAGATGTGTTTTGGCGGGAAATTTGAAAGGGTGAAAGAAATTAGACAGACGAAGTACACGCGGTTAAAGTTGGCGGTTGAAGTGACTGGGACGCCGTTTCTGCAGCCCTAACCGAGAGTTTGTCTGTAGGGGATGGAGGAAAGGGACATTAAAGATGAGAAGTAGAGGAGAGAGCCCACAGCAAGGTGGCCTGAAAAGATCTCCCCAGAGACTAATTGCTCTCCATGATCGCAGTGGTCATGTTACTGTGAAAAAACAACTGCTTGCCAAAACAAGGTTAGGAAATGGGAGAGGTGGGAATGGCAGGGAGGTTGGCCATTTCATAATAACCGATACAGTACCCTACACTGGGGAGGGGGTTGGGGTAATAGTGTTAAAAGTTAGGGGTGCTAAAAGACAGAGACCGTGAACACATAGGCGTCAACCACTTCCATGCTGTTGCACCACCACTCCTCAATCTAGACTTCGTCATGCCCAAAAACTTGGTGTGCTTCAGTTGCATCAGAAAACAAGACTTTCAACTGGTCAAGAAGTCTACACCCAACTATTCACCTTTTCAAGAAATACAATTAGCTGTACCGAGGCCAACGCTCACTCATTAGTAAAATAAAGCTAGGGTGCAAGTACTGCACTCCTGTAAGAAAAGTGCACCGAGTCATGTGAAGCCAGTCGCACTAACTTGCACATCAGCAGCCCTGTCAAATGTTGGCCATCACAGTAATGGCCAATGTTGACACCCTTCTGCTGCAGTTACCTGTTAAGTTGCAACGCTGTGTGTTATTGTGAAATTGAGGTTTATTTAATGCATATTCAATAAGGCTGACCCATGCAGGTTTGAGGGGGCTCGCCCTCTGCAATCTTCCCAGCAGACACTCACCTCCCCCTGTTCCAACCTCCCTTCCACCAACACAGTTCTAATGACGGGGATTTTAAGGGGACACTAAAGGCAAATAACAATTTATGTCAGAGTGAAAACTCAATGATTGACAAAGTCTAAACCAGTAATATTATCAACCGCAGAGATCTACTTACCGAGAAATTAAGGTAAATGCACGACAACACATGCGCCACAAGTAGACATTTGCGAAACGATCCCAGATGACACGGAGAGCAACCCCCTACAATTAATCACTAGTAATCGAACTAGCTGCACTAAATAAAGAACCTTCTGTGCATCAAGAGACGCAATAAAATGCTGCTTGTTCTTTTCTGTCCGATTCGTGGAAAAAAAAAGAACTTGGCATTACCATGGGGAATGGAGCGAGTGGTTCAAAAGCTCCATTCTTGGGCACCTAGCGAGGCCCAGTTGAACCAAGCACGCTTGCCATCTTGGAGGCCATGGCAGAAAATTGTTCAGCAGCCGTTATTGCTGCTGTGGCTTTTGCTACTTTCGCTCTGCTGCTACTAGTGTAGCAGCAGAGTTTCACATCACTAGTCCCGTTTAGCACGGCACTAGTGACGTGAAAGAGTACACTTTGAGGCACACTTCAAGGCAGGGTAACTTGAAGTGCACTAATGCGATGCCGACCACTAAAAAAGCACTTCCTTGCCACAAAAGTAGCACTACGAATTTTCTGGGCAGCTATTTCTACAGTCAACGTTGACTTAATATTTGCCTTTAGTGCCCCTGTGCCAAAAGCACAACTCAATTACGAGACTTGCCACGGTGAAGAACTTCAAATCAATTTTGACCAAACGGCTTTACAACATATGTGCATCAAAATCTAGGTCCAAGGGTACTCTTAGATTTTTTCTGAATACAGGTCTAATAAGAGAAGTGGCTACAATCTGCAGGTAAATTCCAAAAGATTCTTTTCTCAGCCCTCACTGCCTATCTAGAGTTCACTGGGAAGGAATTCAACCTAACAGCTGACATTGCAACTATGTGAAGGCTATCCAGAATTGCATTCTTTCAAAATTAAAGGATGACAAAGATTCTTAGTAAAAGCGAGTGGAACCCTCCTACAAAGACACTACTGCCAGCTTCTTCCCGCAAGGTGTGGGAGACACTACAGTCAGAAAATGATTACCGAACAGAAGCAATTAACCGTGCCAAAACGGACGTGGCGATCTAGTGGCCAACACCCTTCTAATGACTGGCAAGCTTGTTGCCCTTACCCCCCAGCCTGGCATCTTAGGCCTGGCAGGGTAAGTCCTCGGTAGCTACTGGCAGGGAATCGCACAACTGTGACCGTCATGGCAAGGTACTGGGCAGTTAGCAGCAGTAAAGAATTAACTTCTACCAACATCACCAAGAAGCTCCAAGAGGCTTCTTAGTCCCATGTGGTACTTTAGGTTGCATGCAAGGCGTGCCCGAGACATGTGGCAGAAAGATAATGTTCCACATTCACTGCAATCACCACAAGTAGCACTTGCAAACAAGCAGGCAGAGCGTCGTGGCAGTAACACGAAGATTGTATGATGAATTTCTGTCTGCTGATCATTTTTTTTTCCCATCTACTTTGGTTCATTTTCCTCTTTATGTCAGACTCCTAAATTATTACAGCTCAAGTACAATCTACAAATAAGCACCCCCTAAGTCTTCCTGAGCTTCGTAGGGTTGACTTGCAAAAAACCCTGCCCCTCTACACTTTCATTCGCCTCAAGGAGTCGGGTTAGTTGTGTACCCCGCTCGTTTTTTTTGGAGTTCCCACCATCGTCGTCACACCTCTACCTCAACCTCCACGACTAATCTCTAAGCGTCAGCGATACCAAACATGAAGCCATAAGAAAGTGACAAAACACGGGGGCGTGTCAATGAAAAACATTTCATTTGTCAATGAATAAAGGCTTTGTACCCTGCAACGATATGTGAAAAAAATGACAAGCATTCAAAGGTATCCCTTCCCACCTCCCGCTTGCCCATTTGTTTGAAGTAATTGTCGTGTCTTTGGCAGCAAGTGTGTCGCGAACACAGTTCGGATCCGGGCATTCTTCGCTTCCACAGAATCCATTTCGGGAGAAACCAGCTGGAATTGTCTCGGCACGAGAACCTCGTTCTTCACCTGTAACCATCCACAGATCCACAGTTCGCCACACGATATGTTTCCTCACAGGGCCGCAAATATTTTTATATATAAAAAAATAAATAAGAGATGACTTAGATGAACACATGATGGGCAAGCAAGGAGAGCTGAAAGTATCTTCTAAACACTCATAGCTCTCCTTCCGATTGCACTTTCTTTGGTTTTGCTTTTTGAAGGTTGTGTGCATGACTGTCATAATGCGATGCTCCACGGAAAAAAAAAAAAATGTCTCGAAACGTCGTGCTCGAGAAACGTAAGCCCGGTTTTTCAGCTTGTTCCCTCCGAGATCACGGCCTGCAAGCAGAAAGAAACGAAAGGAAAGAGTATTAACAACCTTCGCTGCAAAGCCTGTGGTGCACAAACTACACAAGACGGGTGTCAGCTCCACCCACACTCATCGCTGTCCCTCCCACAGCGATTTCGCATAAAGGCTCCATCCAATAGCTGTTACTTATTTTTGTGACAACAAGCAAGTTGTCCGGCGTTTCAGACCGCTGACTTTCCCACCACGACACTTGCTCGTGTCGCCGGTTTCAGGTCGGAAATTTGAATATCCTGGTAAATTTCATCAGGGATTTTGACATCACTGCTAGGCCAAGCGTGATGTTTTGGGTAGTAACAATTCAAGAGTCATTATATCAAAGCTGCATGTTGCACGAAAGTAGGTTCGTTATATTCGAAATTTGTAATAAAGATATATTCTTAACACTTATGTAGGCTCACAACACAATTGTAGGCTCAGGGCTAAGGGTCGACTGAAGCCTTCAGAAAGCAGACAGAGGCAGCGTTAGGAACAAGACCTTTATTGACCGCGCCCAAGCTCGACTGCCCGGCGGCCATTTGGCCGTGCCTGCGTGAGCTCATGCACCAAAAACAAGGGTGATAGCCACACACTGTATTTATTGAATAACTATTTTTTATGAATTTTGTTATAACCGATAATTCGTTATATCCATGTTCATTATATCAAAGTTTTATTGTATTTAGACTCACAGAGAAAAAGTACTTGAGGTTGGAGCGGAAACCGGCTAGCACGACAGTTTGTCACAGGCGAAGAGCAGGTTGCTCAAGCAGTTCTGTGGGCGGAGCTTACGTTTTTCTCTTTTGAGTTTCAGCACAACCATCACACAAAGGTGAGACCAGCACTACGAAAGACTGTGCCTGCTGTAGTGGTCACCGACACTTGACCCAAAAAATGTGTGGCAGCTGCACTACTGCGAAATTTGGGGAAGTGCGTTCACGGACAAACCAGAGATTCTTGTTCGTAGAGTTCCCACTGCCACATTTACCAAAACGTCGATGACGTCAATGTTCGAGGTAAACGTGCACGGCTTCCCCCGCACGAGTAGAATCACGTTGGGCCGATTCGCAAACCCCGCATGCGACACGTGCGCTACTCCTTGATGCACTTTTTCAATCTCCTTCTTGTCCCGGCAGTTCAACTAGACATCCTCTGCAACCAGTTCCGTCGCGCTGTTTCCCCATCTAGTGTAACGCGACGCCGGCAAAGCGTAAGGGGAAGGACATCCACACGCTTGACGAGGCCGTGGCTCTTGCACGGCCGTGGAGTGATCCACAGGTTTCCGAAACGTTCTTAGCAACATTTAATCAATTTATTACAATTACTCCATTCCAATTCAGTTATTAGTACTATTTTAAACCTTGATCACTCATTTAAACCCGGGTTTGACCATTGCTGTACTGAGCTCTTTATTGCCCATACCGAGTGCTTTATTGTGAACATGATCGCGCACATGAGATGCATGAATGAACGGCAAGCCGAGCCCCTTAAGTGCACCAGACTTAAAAGGTACCACATCGCCAAATCCCTTCCATTTTCCCGAACGCCTGGGACGTATAGTTGGCCACAACCAGACAAAAAGTACGGGGTCTGCCCTGTTTGTCGACATGTCACCAGAAATAATTTACATAGACGATCAATCATATTCAAGGTTATCTCATTTTCTTGACTTCGGGCAATTTGGGGTCCTTGGTTTGATAGAGACAAGTTTGCCATACATTTGGGTTGCTGGGTCAGGGTCAACGACGATACAGTGAAGCAAATGAAACCTTTTACACCACTGTCGCTCACAGTCACTTTCGATCGTATTCAGGCACAATCTGGATTGAATTTCTCGACCGTGAATAGCTCCTTTACGCAAGCTGCAGAAGGAAACCCTTCACCGTTATGGCTTTTGATGGGACCTTATAACAACAAGTAGTGCACTATGCGACACCGGCGTAAGACAAAGACTAGAAAGTATCCTTTTCCAAAATGTGTAGCAATGATTTTAGCAGAGAGAAAGTGCTTATGCTTCGCAACGAAGCCTGTTGCCTTCACCCTCTTTATGCAATCTCAAGGCAAGCGTACCACGCTTCTATGGATGGAGCCGCAGCATTTTCGAGCTTGCAAAAGACTATAGTCAACGAATCAGGGCACAGCATTGCTCAATCATTTAGCTCCCTAACACGTGATACAACACAACAACATCAACGCACCATTAAGTGGACAGAACGGCTGTCTGAGCATATTGGGGAATCACTGACACTCAAAAGTACGAGACTCTAACCATACGGGGAGACAATGTGCTTGTCTTCGTGTCTCCCTGTGTGTTTACGCGCTCGTATTTCAAGCACCGCACCGAACAACGTCGCATGACGAGCTACTAACCTCCATCCTTGCCCTTTCTCGACTCAGTTCCAGCTGGTGTCGTTTCCAGCTCCCCACTCGTTGCCGGTCCCGCCGACCGGTGCAGCGGGCGTGGCTGACCAGTCCTCGATGGCAGCTGCCGACCAGTCTTGGGTAGCCACGGGCGGGGGTGGCGCAATAACTGGTGCCACAGTGACAGGCGGTGGAAAGGTCGGCACTTCAACAGCGGTGGACCACTATACCATGGGAGAAGAGAAAAGACATGTAAGTAACACTAAAGTGAAATGACGAATCGGCTTACATTGACGAATTCATTGGGGACCTCAGTGTCGTTCACTTCTCCATCATACGTGCACCGATAGAGGAGAAAACTGAGGTCAAAGTTTTCAATTAAAGATTTCTCGCTGAAATCTCCAGCAACACCGCAGATTTCAATGTGCATTTTTAGTATTTTGCCAACATTGGCTTAAAGATATTTTCTGAAACATGGCAAGTTACGTCTATGAACCCATAGTTTTATTCTTAAATTTTGTGCTGAAACCGCTGCAGGTGATGTCATGAATTTCGAAGAGCACTTTTGGTGTTTTAACTACTTTGGCTCAAAGAAAGTTCCCAAAATTGGGTACGTTGAGTCTGTGGCCCCCACAGACAATGTACATCACAGTAATATAGCATCAAAACTGCATTCTATGCAGTTTTGATGCTTTTTGATGTTTAACCTTATATGAAAAAAACCTATGGTATGTTGAACATTGGCAAGTGAATCAGTGTGAAGCTGGGATTTCACTAATGAATGTCCGACCTATCATAAATTTTGTTCAAATGTGTTTATAAAACCAGTTTTTGTTGCATTGCAAGCCGTTCGGATTCTAGTTTATTGTAATATGCTGCCTGCCGGGGTAGATTTATGGTGCTGGGCCGCCGACCCAATCGGCACGATTTCCATCCTGGCCATGGCAGTCACATGTGGCAAAGATAAAATGGTAGAGGCCCCCGTGCTGTGTACAATGCTTGTCAAAGAACATCAGACGGCCAAAATTTCCGGAGCCATCCACTACGGCGTGTTCATAATGATGTCATGGTTTTGGAACGTAAAATGCCATATGACATATTATATCGAGATCAAATTTTTTTTCGAGGGACGGGGCTGACCTATTGAAGGCTTGAAAAATGCCTGTGTTGTATTAATGTTTTTAGGAATATACATACCTCATCTATACATCAGACCCCCCCCCCCTGAATTCTGTCTACAGGCCTGTATTGTATTATACCATGCTATGCCAATTTACTTTGCTACTCTCTCAGTTTATTATGTGCACAAAATCTTCTACACTTTATACACTTTCCCCTGCAAATCTAGGCAAACTTGGCAAGTTTGATCAAAGTGTGTCAAGAATTCAGAAAAAAAAAAAGTTTGCCTTCTTTCCCTTCTCCCTCCACTCTCCTTTCCTAGCACTGGGGCTCTTCGATTTTCAGGCCGCGGGCAGCTCTCTGGCAGCCAGAGCTAGCCCGAGGGCTAGTCAGCTAGTTCAGGTCTGGACAGGAAACAGCGTCGTGGTCACATGTACGGGGAACCCGAGACAACCCAAAGCTGCCCGAAGATCGCAAAATCATAGCTGGGGCAGCCAGCGTAAACGTAAACATACTCTATCGTCGTGGCAACAAACGAAACAATGCGCCGCGTGTGCGTTGGTTTTTTCCTGCATTTATTGCTTGGAAATACATAGCTAAGCTCGCCTAAAAGCTGTAATAATATCCTCAAGCGTATGTATTTGGGGTACGACTTCGTACGATCGCACCATCCCTCGCCGCGTCCGCAAACGAAACAGCCAGCTGGCGCACGCTGCCTTGAGAACGATGCAAGGCGAGCTGCCGCGACGCTGACGACTTAACAAGCTGACGTCTCTTTAGTACATGTAACAGTCACTGCACAACACGACACGAAATCACGTGAAAGTGATCGTGTCCCCAAAAGAGCTCGAGGATATATACCTGCTCAGCTATCAAACACGCGTTGACCAACTTACGTTTTTTGTCTAAGGTTTAGACATGCATACGTATTGGTACCACGAGTGCGCGTCCTATATAAAATAAACTTTTGCATGACACATTTCCGACCCACTTTGGAACTTGCCTGAGCCTGCTTTACGTCCTAAGTGACACTTAACAAATGTCATGTATACCCGCTTTGATTTGACCTACTAGGTCATAGTACATACTGCGCAACATTGTTACGAAGAGGTGAAAAAAGACAAAGCCAATGATGAAATGGGCAACGAAAGGATGAATACATTTCTGAATCCATTCTCAGTTTGTTTGTTTTTTTCTCGCGTCGTATCGTATAATATCATACCACATGTGCTGACCCATAAATAGAAATGGGTTCGCACGGCATTCGCGACCAGCGAGCATCACTAACAGTCGCGATCTAGTGCCTTCTATCACCACCGAAGGTCAATCGAGTAGTCAGGACAGAAGTTCTAAGAGGTTCACGCACGCAAACATACGGCGAAGAGAGCTAGTAGTTCGACCACAATCGTCTTTGCTAAGTGCATTGAAAGCAGGCATGGCTACACAAACGACTACTACGAAATAAAAAAATGTAACTCCAAAGTTGTCTCTATGCGTGCGTACGAACATGTAGTACATAACTGTCGAGGCATGTGCACGACGCAGTTAGCAGGCAACAGTTCGCCGCATTGTTCACAGGAGGAAGCTTCACGGGAAACATAACAAAAGCGATGAACAGTAGCTTCAAACACTCGCCGCCACTCGTAATCACTTTATCTCGCTAGGCGGAACAGGCTTTAGAAGATAACGCGTAACGACAAGCGAGGGTGCAGTCCTCAAGGGCCCACATTGCAATCCGTCCAGTCCTTACAAAGGTGGCGCCGAGCGCGTACCATATCTTTTCGGCGCCTGCTAGCCCGAAACCTGCCCAAGACCTTCCACAGAGCTTCCACGACTAAATTGTCTTAGAAGCCTCTGGTGACCCTCGGGCTCCCCACGGGTCACCAGAACCATCCAACTCGAGAAAAATCAACGCCAACCCGAAGCGCCAACCGAAAGCGCACCGCGAGGGGTACGAAGCAGCCCGAGAAAAACTAGCACGCTCTGGCAGGCTCTGGCAGCCCGTGGGTGGCCAGAAGTGGAAAATCGAAGAGCCCCACTGTAATCTGGGCCACAATGTATTCCATGAGGCGCAGTGAACGATCACTAGGAAGGGGTTCACTCACATCCGCGACGTCGGGCTGTGTTCCAGTTATGTCCCCGCCAGCCCACTGCTCGGTCTGGTACTCGACCGTCTCCTTCAGGCCCCGCTCGGGCAAAGCCTGTTGCCCCTGCTCCTCTTTCTCGGCCTGAAATAGACAAACATTGAAGAAGTAGCAGGAACCACCAGCGACTACGAGTGTCCAAAGTCAAAGTGGCAAAATTCTTGAAACATAAATAAATATGCACTCAGACTTCGATATAATAAATCTGGATATAACTAAATATTGGTCATAACGAAGCAAATGAAAAATAGCCTAGCTATAAATATTAGAGTATTAGGAATGTACCTTTATAAACAATTTTTGAATATAACAAAATTACTTTCGTGTAATACAGTTGAAGCTGCTTATAACAATCCTCCGTGTAATGAATTCCTCTTTATAACAAAGTTTTTCTATTCTCTGCCATTACTCCATAGAAGCACATGTAGTTGTGACCTCTATGTAACAAAGTTACAGTGGGAGACATGCTTGATATAAAGAATTTTCAGCACAGACAATCCAGAAATTTCGCCACGAACTCTGTCATTTTGGCACCGGCTTGCATCTTCCACGGTCGCCCCGCCGTCAACGAAGCGCGAAACAGCGGCGGTGCTGCGCTCTTAGCCCAAGCGACTCCCAGGAGAAATCAAGCGCTCGAAAGTCTCTTTGTGTTGAAAGTGGACAGATGCTAGCCGAAAGAGCGCGCCCGCCAGCAATGGCGACCGCATCCTTAAACTCAAAGTTAACTGTTGCTACTCGAGCGACACCCCCCCCCCCCCTTGTTATTCATGCTTGTTCAAGACAGGTGGTTTCCTTTCTGTTGTTTGAGCATTTGACGGCAGTTCTAAAACATGGGGGGATGTACCGTATGCACCCTCCTGGTGATAGAGATGGGCCGGCTCGATCGATCTCTGCTTCAGCCGCACTCGAGCGCTTGTACTCCAGCTCATAAAAGTTACGATGCGCGGGAGCATGTTCTTAATTTGGACTTGTTACAGAACATGCGGCTACGACAAAAACTCGCTGGGAGTGTCCACATAATCGCTATAACAATAATGTAGCTTTTAGCACTAAGTAAGTGTTCTGTGCTAGCTCTGCCTTCAGTGCCCCTTTCATTTACCTTGAGTTTTTTTTTTCTTAGAATTTTCTACCGAACCTTCATTTAACGAAATCCTTTTTATGACCAATTTTTTCTGGGAATTTGTCAATTTCGTTATATCCAGGTTTAGCTGTATGAAACTTTGTTATAATGAGGTATGAGGGTACATCAGCTGCAACTCTATGGAAGCTAGCAAGAATTCTTGAAGAGGATGCAGTCGCACCACGATAATGATTTTAAAACCCATAATGTGGTTTCCTTTTTCGCTCCTAGACTGAGTAATAAACAAAGATACTTTGTGCCGTGGAAATAAACAAAACTGTGGTTACTTGTATAGCCTTTAATCGGTTGCTCTAGATAGCATGGCATCTCCGTTTTTCACATAGCAGCCTCTGGCAATTACTTCCGGTAGCACACAGCTAGATCCATTCGCAAAGGGCCACGCTCACAATAATGAAATCTAATTGCGAGATGTACCAACTTGCACATTTTGCTCGCCGGTCCTTTTGCACTTTTCACTACGTAACCCGTGATGTGTGGTACGGAGTATAGCACAAAAAGGACAAAGGAATAGGTGAAGGAAACAGAGATTGTGGCACTCAATGGTCCCTAAATTAGTCTGCTTCCTTCACCTCGACCTTTCAACTTTTTCTACTAATTAGTTGTATCTCAAGTCAATTGGTACCAGCAAGCCAATCTCTAATAGCAAATAAACTTTCAATGTTGTTTGAAAATTCCAACCAAAATGCACCCACATCCCTAGTCTCTCACTGAGCATGGTACTGCCATCTTCAAAGCCACTGTGTATGGCAAAACACTTCCCCCATAAGTGATAATAACAAACTTTACCCAATGAAAATGCTTAATTTACCGTTAGCTCAGGGCTTTCTGCTTCTTTCTGCACAGGAAAGGCAAAAGTAAGTCCCGTCTCCAAATGAGTACACTGTGTCGCAAAGGGTTACACGGTAGACTCTCGGTAAATGAAACTGCTGCTCAAATGACACTGCCTCCAACATGATTGGTTTCACACTTGAATTCTGCGCCTCCGTTCATCTCTCAGAAAACGGAACTTCTTTTATATTAAACACATTTTCCTAGTCCATCTGGTTCTGTTTTGCAAGCGCCTATTGTAATTGCATAAAAACAGTATTTCAAGTTCATGTGATCAGCAGCGAGGCTTTGAGACAAACGTATCGACCAGGCTCAAAGCACCCATGCGAGGCAGTGATGTGCCAATGCCCACCTCCTCGGGATCGCGGTAGAAGAACAGGTCGACCATGATCTCCCAGGGGATGTCGCGGAGGATGGATCCGCGCATGCGGAGCACCTCTCGCGTCAGCATCCACCACAGCAGTCCGATGGAGTGCTGGCTCTTGTTATTGCACGGAATGGCAATGTCCACGTAGCGGAGGCTGGCATCCGTGTTGCAAAAGGCAATGACGGGCAGGTTGACGTACGATGCCTCTGTGATGGGCTGGTGGTCCGCTCGCGGGTCGCACACGACCAGCAGCCGAGGCTCGCGAAATGCAGCCTGGATCTATGGACACAGGAGCAGTTTGTTTTTCAAGTGTCTTGCAGTTGAAAAAAACATGCTGCTAATTAGCCAAAAAGCGAACACAGCACAAATAGCGTGAAATATAGACGTGACAGCAGCAACAATCCAACTTACCACGGCGCTTTATGACACATTAATTAGATAACTAACAAACTATTCACTCCATTATTAATACTGTCAGCCCTGCTGTAGGGCTATCACAGGAGTGAAAAACGCAATATTATAATAAACCGAACTTCACGTTAACACAGAAAAAACTGCACAAATAGAGTACATACGTGCAGTAGCGCGCAGTCTAGAGATCATACAGGGCACAGCTCATGGCAACATGAAGACAAATCTAATCTCCCGAAAAAGCACGCACCAATGCACCCCAGGTTTCACCATGAATCTAAACAAGACAATCTGAAAATGAGGATGGATGTGGGTGTGCAGTGGCCATAGCGATCAGACAAAACCAAGAGCTAGAGCATCCTGCCGATATGAACACTTGCAAGCTGTCAATACCATTTCAAACCACCTCTGTTACAGCAGTTCACTGTCCAGACGTCACGACCAAAGTTGAAATACCTGGTTAGTGAATGTTCCAGGCGTGAAGCGGCCAGCAATAGGCGTAGCACCGGTGAAGCTGGCGAACTTGAGCACTGCCCGCTGTCCGTATGCGCGCGACGAGATGGCGCACACTTCGGCCGGGTTCTCAATGGCCACAATGGCACGGGCGGCCAGTAGCAGCTTCTCCCACGTCTTCTTCAGGTTGATAAGGTGAATGCCTGGAACGAATGCCAGACAACATTATGCATTAAGAACTCATTACATTCACTTCTGCAAGTCCCCGTCTACATAGCATTTCTAAATTGTCGTTTTTAAAAGCTCCTGAACTACTGTTCTGAGTAATCTTCAAACAACCTCAGTATTGGAGCCTCCTGAATTGATTATTCCAAAATTTCTCAAATCCCTTAAAGGGACACTAAAGGCAAATATTAAGTCGACCATTACTGTTGAAATAGCAGTCCAGAAACCTCGTAGTGCGAAGTTTGTGCCAAAGAAGCACTTATTTTTAACAAAATCCCATTGTAATGGTTCGCATAGCGTAAGCGCACTTTGATTGATATATGCGGGGTTTAATGTCCCAAAACCACCATATGAGTATGAGAGACGACGCAGTGGAGGGCTCCGGAAATTTCGACCACCTGAGGTTCTTTTAATGTGCACCCGAATTTGAGCACACGGGCCTACAGCATTTTCGCCTCCATCGAAAATGCAGCCGGGATTCAATCCCGCGACCTGCGCGTCAGCAGTCGAGTACGTTATCCACTAGATCACTGCGGCAGGGCCCGCGTTAGCACACTTCAAATCCTGCGTCTGAATGCAGACTGTCAGACGTCGCTATTACCGTGCCCAATTTTGCCTGCCTTGACTACGTGGCCGCCAATGCCAGTAGCAGCAGAGCAAAAGTAGAAGGAGCCACAGTAGCAACAACGGCCATTGAACCATTTTCTGCCACCTCGGAGGCAATAGTTCTTCCACGGCCGCCTGAATCAGGTGCGGGCGGCAGTGTTTCTCCGGCCATTCGATTCGGCGCACGCCCCATTGAAAAAATGTAATTGGACAAGTTCCGTCGTGCGCTGCAACACGGCACTCTTGTGCTACTCCCCTACAGACGACGCAGCGTAGACAGGCTTGGAGAAATGCACATTGTACGACATTCATGTGGTGACTGGAACAAAGGAACACTGATATATATTCTTATTCGGGCTTGACACAGTGAGTGTTGTTCTCTGTAGCATGCTATGATCAAGACAGAGCCAAGCAGCGTGAGGCGACTTCGTGTGGCGCAGCTTGTTCGCAAATTTCGCCTCCATGACACATGTATTAGGCTGACTGACTACGTGATCTTCCGCACTTTTCATTGTTTGTTTTAGCGATCATTTCTCCCACTGCCATCTAAATTGGTGCGTGCCAATTTAGGCGGCTTTGTTCTGCAAGGAATGCATTTTGTCGTTGTCGACCCTGCATATATAGCGACGTTACACAGCCCAGCTTTGCCGTCACAGCCTCACATTGCTGGAAAACTAAAACGTAGCGCTGGTAATGCTAGTCGTTTTCACCTGCATGATGATTGGCGAAATTTAGTTGTGGGCTCGACACTTAGCATTTTTAAGTTCCCACGGTACGACACTGTTGCGAATGCAACTTTCTTATCTAAGTGCAGGCCGCATGTAAAAGACTATGAACGTGAAAATGATGGGCCATGCTAGTCCCCTGCGAATTATAGAGTGCCAGGGATCGGTCCCCCCATCACCAAAGTACTTCCTTTCACTTAAATGAATCTTGTCGTTTCAAAGTGCGACATCGTTAAAGACATCGTTTTGCAGAAATTATGCCATCGGCATCTGTGCGTGAGTGGGAAAGCTGCGTTGGCTGTGAGCGGAAATTCGAAGTAGATGCAATCAAGATGGTGTTTGCACTTCGTCCTTCCTTACGGTAAAGTGTAGGTCTCCGCCGAGAAGGGAAGGCTTCGTGCTGACGATTGGGGAGGCGATGGTGTGTGTGTGTTCTTCCGTGCATGAGTGTGTGCGAATGTGCGTGTATGTGAGAGTGCGCGCTCGTCTGCTTGTGTGGGTGCACTTGTGTTTGTGGTCGAGTGCACGCGTGTGTGTGTTCTTTTGAGTGTGAGTGCGTGTGGATGTGCGAATGTGCATGTATGTGGGCGAGTGCACACACCTGCACGTGTGTGTTCTTTTGTGCATGCGAATGTGTGTTTGTGGGCGCTCTTTCCTGAGTGTGTGCAAATGTGTGTGCATGTGAGTGTGCTCTTCTGTCTGTGTGCATGTGTCTTTGTTTGTGCATGTTTTTGCATGTGTTCTTGAGTCCCTGTGTTTTTCCACGCATGAAAAAAAACGTGCCTTCTACGTGTACCTCAAACGCTAAGCGTCGTCTGTGTCTGTATGCAAATTAACACTGGTTGCGCTCAGCCATCACTTTCCGCAGAGTTGTGAGACGCGTGCCAAACCGGACTGCATTACGTAGGAGCACATTTGCAGGAAGCTCCACTCCCTTAGCTTTCCCTTCATTGCCGAAAAATGTCTGCGAGTAAAGCAGGTAAGCTTGCGCATTGAAGGCCTCAGTACCTCAAGGTATCTTTGCCAACATCCACAATGCAGCACAGCTATCTTTCGGATCGTTTCCCTCTTCTGAAAGTGGTCAACAAAAAATTATTAATAAATCGTTCGGGTGAGTTCACTCTCTTGTGTACTTTCTATTCATGTGCTGCACATAAGGGCACTGCAGTTTTCTTGAAAACTGGCTCACAGATGTGTCAAATTCGGTCACTATCATCACGACAGCAGCTGGGACACGAAGAAAAAGGAAAATTCTTCTATTCCTTTTATTTGAGGCAGTTGGGGGGCGAGGAAATATAAGGTGTACAGCTAACCAGCGGTCTGCGGTTTATATAAAGCAACGTCTTCAAGCACCACAAACCATCTTGCATTGACAGCAAAGGAAAGAATAGCTAGTAAGCGCTCGCCCCCATGCGGCGATTGGAGCGGCCCAGCCCCTTTTGCAATTGCGCCTTCTCCGTCTGAATGCGACGGCCGGAGGAACAACGCCGTGCCCGCCTAATCCAGGCGGCCGTGGTTCTGCTTGCTTGGTTCAACTAGGCTCCACTAGATGGCACCACCTATCCAGCCTGAAACCTTACTTTTGAACCACTTGCGCCATTCTCTATAGTAACGCCAGGGGATTCTTTTTTCTATAAATCAAATAGAAATGGACAAGCAACATTTTAGTACATCTCTTAATGCACAGAAACTTCTGTTTTATTGCAGCTAGTTTGATTACGAGTGATTAATTGTAGTCAGACCCTCTCGCGTTATTGGGATCATTTTGCAAATGTCCCACTCGTGGGGCAAGTCGCGTGATACACTTAGCATAATTTCTTGCCAAGTAAGGCACTGCTGTTGATAATATTGCCTTTTTAGATATCACCATACACAGAGCCTTCACTCTGACGTAAATCGTTATTTGCCTTTAGTGCCCCTTTAGGAATGAGTAAGTTACAGGGATCAGTCGAGACAAGACAACAGAATTGGTCAAAAGCAACAGAGCCTCACCGTCTGAACGCCGTTTGAAGCAGTACTCCTTCATTTGGAAATCTAAGTTTGTGGTGCCTAGATGAGTCTTGGCAGCAAGGAATCGCCTCACATCGTCCTCCTTGAGGGACAGCACGTTGGTACCTCCAGACATTGTGCTAAAACGGTCGACAGCAGTGCTAACACGCCTGTAACACCAAGAAAAAGGCAAGCCATGTAACTTGGAAGAAGCCAAGACATGTCACAAAGATGGCAACACCAAATTTTGTGGCTACGAAAAAACCTGCTCTAGGCTATGTAAGCAAGGACTATCAGCACACAGCAAATATTTAGAGCACATTTTAATTTGCTTCCGAAGTTTGCCTAAATGCTCATTCTCACAATCGAATTTGACTGCTAGAATCACTGACACCGGTGTCACTGCAAGATTTCAATGACATCTGGTATATTAGTATTCCGCAAAGTTCTCTGCTCATACCAAAACCCCGTACATGCTTATATTCTCTGTTAGAGAATTTTAGTGAGTTTGGATGGCCTCCAGAAGGCTGCTCGCGTGCGTGAGCACATACAGCACTGCATACATCACAGCCTTGTGGGCCCACGTGTTCAAGCTTTCTACACAGCAATGTCACGGTCCAAATCGACACCCAGAAACTGAAACAAAAAGCTGTTCATATAAATAAGGCGATATCAAATTTTTTAGCAATACGCTTGAACCTTGTAATGTGTAACATGGTTCCTGAAGGAATAAGAAACCTTTGCATCGAAGAACGTGCAAGCCACCGATTCGATGGCACCACCCCTTAAAGCAACACAGGGCTCTTGTATAAGGGGGCAGTACATGTAAGTGTCTCTACTCAGTTACAGCCAATGAAAATAACGTAAGCTCGACGCACAGAACTGAGGTGTCCCTGTCGTTCACCCGAGAAAGTCATGTTTGCTGGTTTCTGCGCAAACTGCAAGTACTTTTGCTCGGCTATAGCGACGACTACACACATGTTGAAGGTTCATCGTTACTGCATCATACGTTTATGTTTGGCTGAACAGCGACGTAATAATTCCTGGCGAAATTTACGAGGATGTTCCCAGTTTCTGACCTAAAACCAGCAACACAAACGTGTCTGCATGGGAAAGTAAATGGTGATTGTGTGATGATGCATTCATCGGTCTAGTAACTGCACAAACTTGCAAAAACACACGATTACTAGGAGCTGAAGTCGCCTCTCTAGAAAACCAGGAAAAGAGAAGATTATCTGATATTTTGAATGGCATTTCGCCATTTTTACCTGAACGCGAGGAGTCTCAAGCTTCCGTAAAAATTCGAACAATTTTCGGCGGCAACGTGGCACTATTTCCACCGTCCTAAACCACGGTAAAACAATTTTACTCGAGCTTACATGCAATAGGATAAGAAAGCAGCCATTTAGGAAATCTCGACAGGTGATGTGAGAGAAAACACTCTCTGCAGACAGAAAAGTGGGACGCATGGGCATGCTGACGCACAAAGGGCTAATCAACTAGGTACAAAAATGACCGATGTAAATAAACTAAAAATCAACATCACTTTCAATGATACAATTATCGGCCATACACGAGAGCAAGATACCAAACTGTAACACGAACATGATATAGTTGACCACGCACCACATTCCAAAGACCGCCCGCACGTAGAAAATACCTAGGCGACAGATTCAGTACATTTTTTGCCCACAGACGAAAGTATTCGGCTACGAAAGGCTTCGAGACAACACTCGACACCAACGCGAGACGCTACGAAGCGCAGATGACATATTCCCTACTTTCGCTTTCATAAACGTAGTTTCGGAAGTTCGCGAACAGAAAAACAGGCTGGCCTGTTAACTGCGTCGTCACCTCCTTTGCCTGATGACTAAATAGCAGCGAGCCGAGAGAATCCGACACTAGCGCGAAACGCCACAGAAAAACACTGCACGCGCGTCCGGCCGTGGTGGAACCACTGCGACGCACTCGATTTCGTGGCGACACGCTCGCCTGCAATCGAAACGCTAGGGTCAGCCGAAAAAAGAAACAAACTGCCGCTAAAGACGCACGAAAGCCTTGATTGAGACCGTTCGGGTGACCGCACGCACAAGAAGTCGATACAAGGGCGTTCTTAATTTGCAGTGAGCGACATTAGACGAGCGCGCATGTCGGATTTTTGCGGTTTCATAAGGGATGGGGGATAATATCTTCAACGATCACCCTCACACTCCAACCTAAATTACCGTTTAGAAAGAGCACCTCGAAAAGGTGAAACGCGAGCAGGAAAAGCGAGCACGTTAATGCGTAATTACGTCTAATGCGTCTCATTCGTGAGACGCCGCCGGCGGACTGTCATATAGCAACGGTCACAGCGAAGCTCTCTACCGCGAGATTCAGCGCGCCAGCGCTTACTTACAGGACACGGGCAGTTCTGAAGAAGGGTCAGTCGAGGTGTCCGGTCAAGTAGTACTAATAAATTTACTAATATTAATTCTTCTCGGGACTGTTTACGAAACACGCTTTGGTTCCCGACGCGGTCACGTTGGTAAATGTATGAATGAATGGCTAGATTGATGTGGCTGTACCAGAGACGACCTACCAGTTATGTGTCCTTTAGATCGAGCGGCGGCTAACGCCACCTAGCCGTAATACTTAGTGAACCGAAACTAGATTTATCTTTTTTTTTTCCTTTAACAGATGAAGTTGAGGACTAGAACTTTGTAGAGAAGGGTTTAATTTTCACTCGTGCCTTGACTTTAGCCGCCAATCAAATAACCTCCTTCTAGTTGATTCTACCCGCTTAAAGTCTATTTTACCCTCCCTGTCCCTAAGCCCCAGTGCTTTCAAAAAGTATCCGGCGACCTGTGGAGGGAATTAATCCTAGCCACGCGATGACACGGCCGCGGCTTTTATTCGCGTTGCATTTTCAGCACAGAGTTCAACAAAGGTCTTGATACCTACCCATTGTGTATTGAGTTTTAAAATGTAGCCTCATACGATGTGCCATCAATTAGCACTTATCCCGCGCGCGCAGTGAAGTATTCAATAAAAAATTTTGAACAAAATGTGCGAACGTGTCACCAAGGCCCAATCGCGTTAAACCATTTATGCGAATCAACATGCCATGATTGCATTTCGAGCAAAATGACATGTTGGGATATTACACAGAATGAGAAGTAGCGTACATGTCTCACTGGTATCTAAATGAAAAGATGCGGTAGAGATGCTAAGGTGTTGTCCTACGTACGAGCCACTGAATGTATTTATTTCTGCTGTACATGCAACCTTGAGGTTTTTTTTTTAATTTGTGCACACATAACAAAGCGCGCTGTGCGTACCACATTACGCAATCAATTGAAGTACCATTGAACAACTATAACAGCATGCCATAGTTAGAATGCTGACATTTGAAGAAAAGGAGAGATCTCGAAATCAGCGTTGCGTCCCTTTCTTCTATTGTCCATATTTTAGGTCCACTGCGCTGTCAGCCATTTAATGATGAACATACACCAATTAGCTCAATTAACTGGTGATTCTCAATTCTATTGCATATTTAAATTTGCCGCTTCTATGACCGTTGTATTATTTGATGATGACGATGACATTGATAATTTAAACATATTTTCTTTCTGTTTGAGAGTTGGCGTTCATTCATCAGCTGAAGAAACGTCCATGATTTATAATCACAACAACAAATTGTGTACGAATATTTTACTCTTTTATAAAGTGGGGCTGTTGTCGATGCGTCTAGTGAGCTTTCCTGAGGCACACAACACCATGACCTACTACACTCCTGACCTGCCCAGAGAGCACCTCTTCCAGCGCCCACGTTCTAGTTCATACCTTCTGCCGCTAGGGCCGTCACCTACGAGCGGCGTGGCGCTAGGCAGCACCTGTTCGCTGTCGTCTGCTTCAGCCATCGCTGTGGCAGTGCAAATCGTTCTTATTGTGCATGAATTGTGTATGAATGTGTAAAATATGGCAAATAAAGCGATATGATTCCTCGTCAGAGTTGGCTGCATTCGTGTGGACGTTTGAAGCAGAAATAGAACCGTAAAAAAAGCACACAAAGGGTCACAGTGGCAAGCAGACGGGAACTTTTCTACAAATGAAGGAAAATTTATTATGAAAATATTTCTTGAATGAAAACGTAGTCCAACGAGATAAAAAAACTATTGTTAGGCATTCATTGTTCACACTGAATCACGATGGTTCCAGACGATACGCATACACAAATTGCAGAAGATACGCAGAAACACAGTAGGTCGTGTGCAGAAACTTGCAGACGGCAGATAGCTGCAGTAGTCAGCTCTAATAGTGGCCGCGTGCAGTTTTTTTTTTTTAGATGAGCTGACACCTCAAATGTAAGTATGGTGTATTGCTGCGTGCCATATTGCAAATCGGAACAAGGCAAACAAAGTAAAGTAAGTTTTCACGAGTTTCCTGCCACAGACATACGGGAAGAATGGATCGAGGCAATTGGAAGAAAAGGTGAGTCTTGTGTTTTTGAGAGTCGTTTCAATTCAGAACGAGTTGCAAGCTAGCAAGAAGCACCAGGGTGCTTTAGTAAACTTTATTTCCGTGTGTTATGCTAATTCACTGAGCTAAAAAACATGAAAGCTTTTTTAAAGTACCGCGGCTAATATGGCAGGCTCCACAAATAGTGCCAAGAAATTTAAATATAGCACACAAGAAAAAAGTAAATATACGAAATCTGTAAATTATGTAAAAATGCGTAGCGGTGGGTTGCGAGGGGTTCGAGCACCCTTCCCGAAGGCTGCCTCAACAAATGCCGCCGAAATCCATAAAAAAATTAATGATATGAAATATTTACGTGCTGCCTCCACAGTTTGTCTCTCTGTGTGTGTGTGTGTGTGTGTGTGTGTGTGTGTGTGTGTGTGTGTGTGTGTTTAGCGATGGACAACTCTTGAACACTGGGTGTCACTGAAGTTAGCGACCGAATTTGGTCAAATGTATTTCTCATCTCAAACCTCTATCTTCCCATACAGCTTTGTTCGTTTCTGTATAAGCTTACTTAAGGTAATTAGAAACGTTACGCCGGTAACGAAATGTGGCGATTAACTGTTCACTCTATATAGGGCTGGCAGGCGGTCGGGTATAATGACATAATTGAAGTCCTTCGTGCAATGAGCCCATCGGCTCTGTGAGGGTTAAGAGACCCAGCCGGTGAAACCGAAATGAGGAACCTGGAATAATCAGCGACAGATACTCTATTTATGTGCGTGCTGCATCTGAGATTACATCATGCATGACAAAGATTCGTTTTGGAGAATGCAAAAGAACAAAAACCACTGAAGTCATCGTCGTCAACGGCGGAGTCATTGTACAGGTTAGAGGTTTGCGCTCTAAACCAAGACCAAGGCGCTCAAGTGCGCCTCGGTTTCGGCTCTGTCGTATTGGGTCGCGCTTCGTTACTGAGCAGCCATTAGGAAATTCAGCTTTGTTATGAAACCTTGTATAGCCAATGAGCTCTTCGAATAAAGGGCTTCAAGTATGCCACTGGACTCGACCACGTACCATCACTAAACATCAATCGACGAATGTAGTCATCTAAAAAGACATTTACAAAGGCTGCGAGAAAATATGAAAATGCACTAAATGGGTATACAGGTACTTCCCCAGAATAAAATCGTGGCTATGCTTTTTCTTAACCTCCCCATTTGGCTTGTTACATTTTGGAAAAATTAATTACAAAAAAGGTGTTATGGACTGTTATTTTGCAATCTTGCTAGCCATGCGTATACGCCTTTACCTTTGATGAAGGTTCAGGAAAGCATCGCTGGGAGCCCAGCGACCGGTCGAAGGTATGCAGCCTGCATTTTACCGCTGAAGATTACAGAACAGTGACGAAAAGGAAGATGTTGAAGCCCACAGCCGTGCCTTCCTTATTTCCCGCTTCTCCTGATCCACGTGGGCAAGATCCAATGCCGCGGAAAAAGCGGCTAAAACGAACGCAGGGGGAAACAACGCTGGCACCCATACAAGTAAAAATACTGTAAGTAAAACTTGAAGTCTAACACAACAACGGATAAGAATAATGTTAGCAGTATTCCCTTATGCGTTTAGCGGGACAATATATCTGTCATGCTTCGCTATTTTTTCGGCTTAACAGGGGAACGTCCAACGCAGATTCTTCTCAAGAAGAGCGAGCATCAGCGGAGCCTGGGGAAGTATATAGTTCTGAAAACCCAATTGAAACTGCACAAGAGGCCGAGTGGTTGCATTTTCCATCAAGTCAGGACAACATGGAGGACTGTAGTTCAGTTATACAAGGGGAACACCAGAAGAGGCCAGTGCGGCGCTCCATGACGTCGCAAACGTCGATCGGTTTGAAGAAGATGCGCTCCCTGGTCGCGGCAACTAAGACGTTGCGGCGGAAGTGCAGCAGGCTGAAAGAAATGAACAGTAATTTGCATTCACAGCTAGAGAAGCTAAAGAAAGATTTTTTCGAGATGAAAGCCCTCGCCGAGGCGAATGGCGCTCTAACGCTGCAGGTACGCAGTTACGTCAGTGGACGAATGTTATATTAATCCTTTTATATTCGCACTTAATTTTAAATGACTCTGAACATAATAACAATTTAGGAGTAAGTCAATTCTATCAACATCACCCGTACTACGAGAGGACGTCCGGTGAGCGAAGGAATTCTCGAAACTATAAGAGATTGTAAAGGTGGCGATGCTACCCTTAAGTTCTCGCGCATCGGCTAGCAGTGACGTCATACTTTGACGGCCTCAGGTAATGTCTAAGACTGCTGTGTTAGTAGATGCAAGGTCTGAAGTAGCAAGTTTCAAAGAAATGTTCTCAGCCAATGCGGCCAAGTACACAAGGAGCGACGCAACATAAAGCGACGTGCACGTGTCGAAGATTGTTCGCCAAACTCAGAACATTAAACCTAGTCTTAATTTTTTCTGTTCTAATAGTCGTATGATCGGAACAGGAACGATAGAGAATTATCAGGTACTCATTTATCAGTCTATTAACTTAGTGTCCCTATACTTTTTTGTAAGAAACGTCAGAAAGGGGAGGATGGAAGCTTGCAGTAAAAAACCTGTGAACAGGGGTTGTTCCCATTCTTTAATCGCTGTTTACACACACACAAACACTGAAAATAATCATGAACCAACTCGCTTAATCAGTAGTTTTAGCAAAGTTGTTTCGAGGCGGCGTTTCGACAAGCAGGCTTGTTTTCTGAAAGACTGAAATACAATTATAGCCTTAAGGATGACAAGTCCGCTGTCATGATGTCTGCTCGAGAGAAACTCTGTTTATAGATTTTCTTCTTCATATAAATTTACGTGACATTTTAGTGTACGCCGATGCTGGCAATCTTTCTGGTCATACGAAGGTGTAGGCCTGACATAAGGACACGGAATAAAAGAAGGTTGGTGGGTAAGCGCGCACATGAGCAAGTGTTTAAGATACGAAGGTCGGTGTGTACCCCCTTGCGTGATTGGCGCACCCCGAGTTTATTCCTTTATCCTGCGAACAACGAGTTCAAATTTCTGTCGTCGCAAACAATTAGGGAC